TCACCTAGAAATGGAATGAGGCTGAATTAATTAAAGTTCATAAACCCTCATTTTTACATAATAGTTACATGACCACAAGTGATGCATAAAAGGAAGAGTGAAAAAAAAAAAAGAAATGTTTGGCTTCATTAATCAGTTTACTGATTTAGCTTGCAGAATTTATTCACGTGCAGTGCTAACTTAACAGCCCATATATTACAAGTCCAAATCCAAATTCTACCAGAGATATAGAACAAAAAGATCTCATTTGTATTTTACTTAAATTAACTGAGGGGCTTAAAGAAAGAAACAGGGGATGCACAACACTGCAAATTTAAGGAAATATGAGAACCTACATTTCAAAACTACGTTCAAGGCAGAAACCAAACAGCAGAAGGAAGTAGCGTTAAACAGTGAACACTTAACAATTATGAGTGTTTCTTGCACAAGCTTTTACTAAGGCTTTATTAACAACACATGATGCAATTCAACTACTCCTCACTAATGTGAAGCATCACTCGCAGTTCACTAAGGATTTTTACAAGAATCCTTTTGTCAATGTCCAAATAAAGCACAGTTTTGTCCCTTTTGAGCGATTATTTTCACAGCCACTGTCAGAAATCAGGTCTGAAACTATTCTCTCCGTTAACACGGCCATCACTACTCTTCAAAGACGAAAAACAGACAAGCAAACCTTATAGCCCACCTACTTTATTCCCAGACTACAAACTCCCTGGATGGTGTTAAATGTGGCGCTGGTACCTGCAAGGCCACTCGGATCCAAACAACACATCTGACCACGATGATACAAAACAAGCCTAGGCTCTCACTGATCAATGACTACATTGTTACATTTATTAAATAAAATATGTTATACAATTTATTATATATCTAATTGTGCTTTCAAAGCTGCGTATAAAAGCAGAACTGGAGTCAGATGTGAAATAAGTTACTACTACCCTCTTCCTGAACTAGTCCTTTGCCCAGGAGCCCTGTAGTTTAAGCTACACAAAGAGGAAGAGAGGAAAATGAGCAGGTGCACTGCATGTCCTACACCTCAAGACAGGCCATAAATGGCCTCTATCTGATCTACAGAACAGCTTCTCATACTCTGTTCCACATTATACACATCACACGCAGTTTGTTAGCTCCGGATGAATTGCTGAAAGTAAGACGTGGGTAACTTCCAGCAGTTTGCTCTCCTGTGCTGGAGTTATTGGCAGGGGGCGGAACTAAAGGAATTCCTAGACACATGAGAAGTTTATCTTTCAAAAAAACCCAACGAACCAAACAAAAAACCACAACAAGTACAAACAACTTTGATAAACAGGGAGGAAAGAGAGGGTTTCTTTAAAAAAATCTGCTAATGAGAAACTCTGGTATTACTTGGATGCTGACATACTATAAGCAATCCTGGCTGGTCCCCTGCAACTGAACATCAGACATTTTCTAAGCAGAGAGCGTTAACTTCGTAACAACTGCGTTATTCACTCGCCAATGTGCAATGCTAACTTCACTTTGTCAGTCAGAATTACTAATAGAATGTTTTTTTTCTTTAATGGACAAATACTGAAAGCAAAATTGCAGCTTAAACAACTACACAGCACGATCTCAGAGTAAAACATCTGAACTGCAAAATCAAGGCGGTCTGGTAAGAAAGAGACTGGTTTCAGCTATTAGGAAGCATTTCTTTTAAATACATTTTTGAAGGAGCTAAAGCTGTGTTTTCTTGTCATCTTTATTCAAGTATTTCACAGCAGTTATATTACAAATTACAGTAAAATGTTCAAAATTTCCAGAAGTTCGAAAAAATTAAATAACTTACTTCAAACTAACGTAAAATGAAGTCAAAATGCAAAACATCAATTTAAACACAGTTCTGAATAAAACTATAGAATCCAAAATATACCATAGTTGATGAAGGAAGTCTACTTAATCCACAAAGTAGACACACGTTAATGAAACCAAACAGGACTCCCCAATGTCTAAATAACCCAATGTACAAGATACAAAAGATGCAAGTACAAGCCCAAATTCAAGCTTATGTTGTGATTACAAAATAAAATAAAAACAAAATAAAAGAGTATCAGCTGCAGGACCTGCCATTCAGGGGACTGAAGGTAAAACCAGAGCTGACCCACCAACTTAATAAAAAAAAAAAAAAGGAAGACAAGATATTACAAAAAACAGTAATCCTATAAATACATTGGCATATGAGGAAATCAAGTAACAATACAGAGGACACAAAACAAAACAAAAAAAATAATCACAGGTGAGATTCAAGCTTGCAAATACAATTAACTCCATAGCCATCAACTTCACCCAAGAGCAACTCTATTATCTCCAAGACAGCCCCATCAGCCCCAGAGAGAAACCTCCTTTCTTCTGACCAGCCACATTTCATCGACCCCAGCACAAGGACTCACACAGGAGTTTATTTGCAATTTTCACAACAAGAAACAAGGAAGAGAGGTCAATTTGTACAAAACTCTTGCCAGCGCTACGTGGCAAAAAAAATTAAAAACATACAAAGAGCAAACAAGTTTAGACCACATGGATAGATTAACAGCTGTTTTAACTCTATAACCACCAGACATCTGTAAAGGAAAACAAAAACTGAAGTGTGGTTATTTGGGCTAGGAAGGCGAGTATATCGTTTTAGGTAAGCTGTCCACTAGAACATCTGATATCAGCTACTCTTCTCTAAAACAACATGGCAGCTCCTCAATTAGTAAAGTTGCCTCTCACAATTCTTCCCAATCAACAACTGACAGTAAAAATTTTCCTTTAGAAACCTGACCTTTTAGAACCACTTTTAATGCTAAGCATTAGCTGTGACTAAAATTCTCAACTGTTTTAATTCATATAAATTTATTATCTTCTTAAAAACGTATGCAGTTTTGTCTTCCACAAGTGCTGCTGTTACTTGAACAAAAACTTCTTTGAGTAAGTGAAACTGGAATAAATATTTTTAAAAAATTCTGCAGCAAGAACCTGAGACTTGCAAAAAACCCTTTTATCAGAAACTTGCTACAAAAAATCTGCTACATTTTATTTAATCAAATCTTAAAGTTTGTAACAATTTCCATCAAAATACAAAATGCTGTTAATGTACGAGACAAAAATATCTCAAACAGGTATGATGCTAATAAATACTAAACAAAACATGGAAAAAAATCCCACAATCAAATCCGAGATCAAAGAATCTCATTTAAAATGTGTTTTCTGCTTGTTTTTGTTGTTTTTAATCGCACTTTCCCACCTACAAAATACAGCGTTTCTGCATGGGTTGCATTTAGAAGGTGTAACTAGATGTACATGAATGCCGAAAACCTTTTTCTGCCATTAGCTACAAAGAACAACAGTGGCATTCGGGGGAGAAAAAGATCTAAGAAACAATTATGTTTAACCATAACACACAAAGCACTTTGGATTACTGCAGTAGCCCAAGGCCCATGTTTTGCTTCTCTGCAGCGCTACACTACTATTAGCCGTAGAAGTGGAGACAAGTACCTTAGCTTCAGTTCGGAAATGGGAGCAGAGTGATTACAGTCCTCCATAAACACTGTTGGTAACTAAAATACAAAAAGCTGAGGTAGCTCAGTATCTCTGCAGCAGTCCAAGACTGTTTTCTCTAATTAAAAACTAATCACACTGCGTTGCATATTTCTGGAAAGACACTTCCACAGCTACATAGGGACAGTCACAATGACTGTTCAGCGATGGTAACACCAGCCAGCTTCTCCAAAACACTTTCCACATCGGTTTGAAACAAATTAGCCCAGGTAATGTTTTAATACCGAGCTTGTGATATAACATGTTTTTTCTTGAAACTGCCTAGACCATTCTCTCCAATTTCCAGAAAGGAAAAGTTGTGAACTACACAATTCAGACCCAGAGAACTCTGGTCCGAACAGATGGATTCAAAAGGCTGTCCTCCAGTCCCCCCACATTAACAGTGCTTCGCACGGACCGAGTTGTGAAGCCTAGTTTAAGTTTTACTTTCAAGTGAGCTTGGGCTCCAGGTGTTTGACCGACCATGGCGTCTTCTTACCTGCATTGCACAGTCCAAGCTATATTACAAACACGGAACTTCAGAAAAACCTGCCAGTATTAAACTTGGTTTTCTTAAAGAACTCAAAATGGAAAACAAAGAGATGGTGGGAAAATGCTTCATTTTTAGCCACACAGAAGAGTTTCACTGTGTAACTTGTTTCTAAAACAAAGATATACCAATGAAAAAGGAATTTCACCATTTTGGTAAAGTATGTGGCTTTTTCAGTCTGTCTTAGTTTAGTTCCGCAGAGTAAGACAGGCATTATAGAACCATAATACTGGTTGCCATCCAATGAAGAGAATACAAATCATCCTTTTGGAGATCTTCATTCTGAAGACAGCTTTCTAACATTGCCATTTGCTATAATCCAATCCAATTGGTTAGCCTTATCTTTCTCAATTGACTAAAAGGCACATTAAAGGCAGTTCTAGAGAGCCTCATCTTCAAATTACTGTACATCCAGTTACTCAAGATTCCTACCACAATGCATCATTGCCTTCTTTAGAACAGATTTTTTTGTCCGTTACCCCAGAGAAGAGAAAAATTGGAAAAAAAAAAAAATAAAAAAAGTTTGCCTGTTTAAAAATATTCAACTTAGATCTGCTCTTTCCAGTTCTCTTGTATGTGTTGGTCTCCACTTTGCCTGAAGTTTCCCCAAAGATAATGCATGTAGAGCGAACAAGAGCAGAAACGAGAACAGTTTCTGTAGCACCAAAAATCTCCAAGCTGTGGCATTGTATTCTTTATTTATATCAGATACAACTATATGAAGTTCCGTTTGGTTCTTGTAGGCTGGTTGGTTTCAGGTACCTGAGACAATAGCACCAAATTCAACAGAAAGAAAAAGAGAGAGCACTTAAGACCAAGGCTCTGCACGTACTTGGTGCAAATGGAAACTGAATGGCTCAGAGGACTGCTCTCCCGTGAGCAGTTTGAGAGGATAAACCCACCCATCTTGACGAGTTCACAGGAATGTTTCAAACACATGAACTGTTCTTTCCATCTCCTGCAAGAGACAGAGAGCATTAGTAACACAAATACACAGAGGCAGAAATGAAGTCACGTAACTGTATTTACTGGGCTTTTTTTTTTTTTTAAATCTGAACAAATAATTAATAGGAAAATAGACACTTCTGTTTATTAGCTGCTATCTGCTAACAAAATATGGTAAAAGAGGAAACTAATTAAAGAAGTATTAATGCAGAAAAGCACTCCACTATGACAGCCCATGAGAAAATCCAAGTGTATTAGGGTCATTTATATAATTAATGTACTCAATATGCATTAAGAAAGCATTGCAATGGCACACTGCATGAAATCAAGTCTTAATGCACACTTATTGGTGACCCAGCTGCACACACATATCTGCACAGTCTGCAGAATGAAAGCAAAAGATCAGTCTCTACATACTCCTGCTGGATAAATGTCTATTTAATCTACCGAACATTCGGCACAGACTTTAAACGTATTTTTAGGTGAAGATGGCAGAGAAATAGCATTAAAGTGGTTTGAAAACTATTTTGCAGGAACTGTATAATATCCCATGCTAAGGCCTTTCCAGATTTTGTTCTAAAATATTCATGGAGAAAAATACTTTGTGCTCAATGACCCAACTGGAAACCAGCAATTGTTGGCCTTTTTCAGCAGGGTTGGATATCGGTTGAATCAGCAAGCTGATCCAAACCCCTCCACAGCTAGAACAATGATACTGGAGGGAACGCATGTCAAGAGTTATGATCAGCCTACACCAATGGTGAAACAATCAACCAACTGTTGATGCAGACAGGAGGCCTTTGATAGCAAACACTTTAGAAGGAAAGGGTGACAGCAACTCAGACAACTGCTTACACCATGCTGTACTGAACCTTCTCAAGGGTAGACTTACTGATCTAGAGAAAGTTTGCAAACTTTTAAGGTCTTGCAGGAAAGTCACAATCAGCAAACTGCATGGAGCAGAAGTACGTAATTTTTTTTTGGCCTAGTTATGCAGACACATGAGGGCAACCGCAGCAATGCTGGCTGAGTGTCCCTATATAGTAGTCTCCTTACATCCACTGTTACTTGCATCACAAATGTGAAAACTGCTTCTACTCCATTTTTGCTCTGCTAGCATGTGCTTTCTCCATGCTGCTGTATTCTCTCCTCTTTTCTCCATTCATTTAGGTTAAATTCTTAATTCTTTTCTGAGGAAAGTATTATTAGAAACAACCTCTGTTTTTTAAGTCATTACTACACTAAACTTTTTATATTTATATATACACCTTCTTCAAAGTCTATTTAAAGTTTTTTCCTGCTAGGACAACAATAAATTGATACATTGACTTAGTTCTTGAAAAACCAGTCTCACAAAATTCAGATAAAGAATAAAAGATACTGTACAACATCACCTCTATAAGTTGTGATTTGTCATAGTCTCTACGATGTCTGTAGATGCACTGACTGAGGAGCGAATACAATCTCTCAAGTTGGTCAACAGTCAGGTTGTCACTTTTCTTAACCACCAAATCAAGCAGTTTCTGTCGGAACAACAGAAGGTAAGGTTAAGAGGGGTTTTATAACTGCTTTATTTATTTTTTTTTTTTTTTAAGGACAAATCAGAAATGCAATGTCCTTCTGAAGTCCTATTTTGGAGGGACACATACAATTAAAATGGACCACACTCAGCCATCGGTAAGGCCACAGCTCCCATGTAGATTCAAAAGGACTCAATGTCTCTTTTCACTTCTCTGGTCATATCCATGCTTTTTTTTCCTTGTCTTAGATTTTACACTCTGTATAGCTGGGGCAATGCTTGTTCTGTTTGAATGATACTTCATCCCATTTCATCTTGGTCAGTAATTACGACAAAGCAAACCATAAAAACTGCCTTGACAGCTAAAGCAGACATTTTGAAGAAACTTGCAGTGGCGTGAAATTGTAAGAAGTACCCAACAGAAACTCATTTGAATTCCACACATGTTGAAAAATTGTACAATAAAAGAAGAGGGGAGACAACACGTGTAAAACTGGTAAAAAAAAAAAAGATGAATGTGTATTTTACATAGTAGCAGATAGTAAACTTTAAGAATTTTCTTCCTCTAATAACACTTCTATTGTTTCCTAAAAGATTATCAGCTGTACTCCACAGCAAGTGGGATCTAAATTTCATAGTAGGTCAAGCTAGTTTCTACAACAGAAGACAGCAAATTTTATTGTAACTTTGCTTAAAAAGAGACAAAATGAAAGAAAATTAACTAGCAGGGGTTCCATCTATGACGCCAAAACATCAGCACAAATTCAATTTGTTTTCCAATCCACTAACAGTTCTTTCCACCGCGTATACGTACACGGGAAGGAAGAGATGATGTTAACTCCTAATTACTAGGCACCCAGCAGCTCCTCGGTAACTGGCATGTCCAATTAACACATAAGAGTACCTGCAAAAACTGCAATTAAAATAGTGGACTGCTGCGCCATTACTGGATTTGTAAAGGTAGTAATGATGGGACAGTAAGGATTCAGTAGTTCTATCAACTTTTCATCCAAAAAATACTGATCCACGAATCACCTTCAAAAGTTACTTCTGCCATAATATTTGCTTGCAGTCAAAACCAAAGGAAACGTTGCTTCTAAGAGAGGAAGGAAGCATTTTTCATGGACAGTTTCATTAACAGTTCAACTCATTTTTCAGTTCCATTACCTTTAGTCTATCATGGTCAACAACTACAGAGGGTAAGGGATCCAATGGTTCCTCTGGGACCTGCTCCAAACTCGTGGGCTTTGACTGTTCCATAGTGACTTTTCGTGTTTTCTTGCTTTTGAATATACCTGTAATTTGAAAAACAATTATGAGCACTGTCAGTCTCTCAAAAGGAACAGCTTGCTTCTTCACTTTGGTTTCATTTTGTTTGGTTTGTTGCAGTTTTTTGAACCAAGCAAACATGATTGTAGCAGTGCACGTTATTCATCAGCTTTGCGGAATTCTGAACGTTTATGGGTGCACAAAACCACAGTTCAGAAAACACACATGAAACTGGTCACCTTTAAAACTGAACTCCAAAGTCCCAACACAAAAGTGAACATCACTGAAAGAGTTTTTCCATTGTATCGTTTCTACTTAGCAACGTCAAATTATACAGCTTTTACGTGAATTTCAGATATTAAGCTAACGCTCAAAATCTTTCCACCTAAATGAATCAAATCCTCATTTTTCTCTCTAAAGCATTCCATGTCTTCATCACCACGGTTATTCTAACAGCTGCTCTACTCCTGAAACATCATGCTTTTGTGACACATTTCTGTTGTCTTCCACCTCTATACTAAAGCTGTTATCCAATTCTGTTATGGAGAACAAAATATTTTTACATCTCCTGATTCTCTCCCTACACTCATTCACTGTTTTTTCTCCTCCTCAACTATTTAACATGCCTTTTTTTCTGAGGACTCCTTCTTATTATAACCATCCTTAATGTATACAGAATTCAACTACTAAATTTAGAAATGTAAAGGCTCTTAGCATACATCATACTCTTCTGATATTCTTAGGACCTTTCTTCTACTATTCTCCTTACCCTTAGAGAAAATATGTACGTACAAACACAGTCAACATGTATATAGTGATATTCTCATCATTCAGATCTCTCATTAAAGCTCATTTACTTTGTAAATCTCAGTGCTAACTTTTGAAGTAAAGATTTCATTCTTTTAGGTAATTCTGAAAAGCTAATTAAAAAGGCAATCATGTGTAAGGCTTTTATTTCTCTTCCCTGAGGAAGCTACGTCTCTTGTCTTCAAAGGACATGGCCTCTTCTTTTATGCACCATCAGGATTTCCCTTCTCCTTCTCTTATCTTTTTGCTGCACTGTTACTGTGTTGACTGTAACTCCAAAGCCAGATACCTTCTCCATTAGACAAACAACGGTTTATCTGGCTTTTGCTATGAGTTAAAATGCTTTAACTCTTGCTGTGAGCAAATGTTCTTAAAGGAATACATTCTGGATTTTTATAGTCTTCCATCCAATGTCGGTATTTTTATCATAAATCTCTAAAAAATAAGACAAAATGTATCATATAGATCAAAGCATAGATCAGGCAGAACATACAGACCAAAAAATCTGTCATATTTATCTGCACTGACAATATTTTTTAAAATCTTTAACTATTGTTTAAATGTTATCTCAGTATTTACAGTTATTTCTCATAAAGGCTACAAAACCAAACAGAATATTGTACATATGGAGATACACTTACTTGCCTAAGATAACATTACAGCAAGTCAAGGGTGGACTTCTAATTCATCTATGTGGAGTTAAGTATTGTAAGCATACTGAAAGTGTCAAATAAATAGACAGAAATTCATAAAATATTGTCATGTAACTATTGTAACATAAGATATTACAATTAAAAATACATACATATTAACTTGGACACGAAGGTAGAGGACTGAAACATTGAAATCAAGCTATACCTTCTTTATCTGCTTCGGCATCTTTAGTTTCAATGTCTGTGCTGTGTAGTGTTTTTTCATTATTGCTGCAATGTGGTAACTCAGCTTTCACTAGATCAGCTCCTTGACTTTCACTGAAAGCTTCTGTTTTCTCCTTTGGCTGATCTTCAGATGAAGATTTTTGCTTGTTGCTAGACCCATCACTATTGTCACAGGGGGAAACAGCACCAACTGATTCCATTTTACCATTATGACATGCTGGAACAGATATACCCTCTGAGATGTGTACAGACGCCTCTCCATTCACACAGTCTCCTTTCGACGTAGAGTCCTTCCTTAATTCCTTCTCAGCACTCAGGGTAACACTGTCGGTTATTAACAGAGATTCATTTGAGCTCTCTTCTTCTGTGGATGCAAAATTGTTTTCCTTTCCTGATGTCCCATTGTTAAGCCTCTGCTCTGCATCTATATCCATAATATCACAAGAGGATTCATCATTTGTCATAGAGAGATCTCCTGTTTCCTCCCCATTCTCCTCAATGCAGTCAGTGCTGATCTCCAGCTCTCCATTTTCCAGCAATTTACTGTCCTCTCCATGATTTTCATCATCAGCAAACTTTGAATCATCTTCATCTTTCTTTAAATTATTGACTTTCCTCTTCTTAATAATGCCTTTGCCCCACTGCGAGCGCCGTCTTGATTTTCTCCTTATTCGAACTGCATTATAATAAAAAAAAAAAAAAAGAAACTTTTAGATGCACGGGTACCCCTCAGTAACAGATTAGGATATTAGAATATGCTGTAGTGTCTGAGGCAATCAAATGTGTTCAGATTTCAAGGAAAAAGTAAGCTGTCTCTTGATTTCAATGTGAGCAAATTACAGATACAAAGGACTTCTGGAAGTATAAGGAGCGAACACTCAGTCGTGTACACAATTCCTACTCTAAACCATGGAAACAAGGAAGAATTGCTAGCTTTTCCTACTTCATGTATTTTATATATACCCATTAGTGGTTAAAACACTAAAACAAAACAGCTAAGCAATGATGTAGAACTCAGACAGTCATTCTCATTTGGGTAATGCAAACTCTAAAGACAGTTATTCTCATATTCCCTTTTTAGAACCTCAGCTATTTGAAATCGTTATACAGAGAAACAAATGGAAGTGCAACCAACGGATACATAGAATAATTCAGGTTGGAAGAGACATTAGGAAGTCTCCAGTTCAATATTCTATGAAGGCTGACCAGGTTGCTCAGGGCTATATTCAGCCACGTACTACTGAACACCTTCATGGATGCACACTACATGACTTTCATCAGCATCTCACACCAATGCACAATTGCCGTAACAGTGAAAAGGCTTTCTGCCCTATATCCAGTCTGCACCTCCCAATTGAATTTATGTCCATTGTCAATTCAAAGACATCTTCACTGTTTAAATCCGCTAAATATCCTCAATCTTCCATTCTTTCCCACCTCTGTACTCAAGTTCACTGCATTGACAAAATATGGTTTTTAAAAAATTAGGACTTTTGGTTTAGACTTAGACCCTTTTAGCAACCCTGTCTACACCAAGACCTCAAACATCTGCATTTGTGCAACAAGTCTGTAAGCAGAAGGGGAATAATACCTCCTTAAACTAGCATCACCACCAATGTCTTCCCCCATGTTATGCAATTCAGCTTAAACAACGTGGGCATGTGATCCTTTTTTCATCACTTCTGCATCCTTAATTTTCATTTTTCCTATTTCTGATTTGTACTTTCTATGTCTTTGAAAAAGCCCATGATAAACTTTTTTTCAGAAAGGGCTTTTTTTTTTTTACTAACCTATTTGCAGTGAGATACAACTAAGGCACCAATCTAAAACAGGTTTTGGGGCACATTTCCAATATGATCAGCAAATACAGAGGGAAGACCATTCAAACCTAATACTATTGCCAACGTCCTTTTCAAGAGCACTAACAAGACACAGCTCAGAAGGCTAAGGAAGAGACTGGAAAAAATTGAAACTTCTACATTCAAATTCAAGTAATGATGCAGACTGCATCAGGCTGAAGTTGCGGACAAGTGATTATAATTGAAAATCACAGCCAATAGTGACCAGAGATTTAACAAATTTTCTTCCATTTCAAAGTGAACTCCTACATTGAGCACCTCCATAATGTTCTTGGTATTTGTAGGTTGCTTTGATTTATGGCGTATGAAGTCCTAGATCTGTGCCTGCCAACCTCACACTGAGTTATAAAGATCTTGCTTTGAAGATACAAGCACTATGCAGGTACAAGTGCTGAGAATTAAATCACAGCAGCTCAGAGAAGCACAGTTGTAGTTCACAATTTCCTCCCCATGAGTGGTGTAAGTAAGCAGGTAGTTTAACCAGTACATTAGGAATAAATCTTAACCTTTCAGTTTTCAGAGCTATCTAAAGATACAGTCACATTGCAGTAAAAACAGTCTTACTTGAAGTGTGTATTAATTGTTACAAGAAATCTTTAAGATTTGAGGGGGAAATTCTCTTTCTCCAGCTTTTTTGTAGATTTGATAGCAATTTCTACAGTCAGTTTCACTGTTTTATTGATGACAAACTAAAATGTAACTTTTTTTCATGTAACTTTTCAGGAGCTCATGTAATCTTTCCGTAGACTGTGCAAGAGATTTTCATTAACAACAGAAGCAGCAAATCTGAGACTAAACAGAGAGATGTAAACTCAGACAAAAAATTCCCGTTAGGCAATGGGTTTAGCCTCAGGTCAACTCCAAAGATGGGTAAATAAAACACAGATGGGGAGCAGGCAGCTTTTAAAGGAAATTTAATATGTCCTAAAGTGTATAAATTAGTAAGAAAGTTGACATTTTTAAAGAAACACTGATTTTGGCTTTTTTGGCCAACTTTGCTGTAAGAGTGAGATATAATGTCAAACATATTTGACATTTATTGTATCAATGAATTGTATTTTACATATGTTCATTTTACTAGTGCCTCCCTTTTTGTCCACCCTGCCAGCCCTACCTGGGATGAGAAGCCATAATTTGCCTAAACACACAGGTACATTCCTAAAATTCCTAAGCATGGGAGAATTCACATTAAAGTGAAATGAAACTAATCCTATATTACACATTTCATTACACTTCGTCTTCCTAAATTACAGTCAGCAAATCCAGCTGAACTCTCTCTCTCGTGCAGTAGTATTTAAACATATGTTGTGCATGTTGTTACTTTTTTTAATTAGGACAAAGAAACCACAGAAAGTGCCACAGAAGATGCCCTCCCAGGAGTTCTGAGGTTTACACTGTATTAAAACCAGTAAAGGCAGGAAATTTTTCAGCTACCTCATTGAAGTATGCACACAAAACAGAGCTTTGGTTGAAAAACTGCTGCTATTATAAAACTGGTATTATTTCATAGATTTCATAGATTTCTAGGTTGGAAAAGACCTTGGAGATCATCAAGTCCAACCATCCCTAATCCC